GCCCAGGATCAGACATTGTTTCGTTCTGCTGTGCATGGTGTTGCTATGAGTCGGGTCCGACTCGATGGCACCTGACAACAACAACAGTGCAAGACTATATATCAATTCCTCCAATTACTGTAGAGACTGCACTGGCTAAATTTCAAGTGCTGTGGATCATTAATATTAAGTGAGGATTTCCTTTTGGTATATAGAAAATGTCTATCCCTCGTCATAAGTTTAAAACTTCTCAGCTTATATAATGTAACCTTCTGGTTTCCACTTTTAACATGCATGAGTGTAAATCTTTTAGGCAGTAAACTGAAAAAGAGCCATAAAAAAAATTGTGTTACAGCCACAGAGGTCTAGAGTGGAGAGAGGAGCGGCCAGCTGATAAAAAGAGGCCAGATAGACACAAGAACACCCACACTTGCAGATGATACCCATTTGACCTGACTTCAATGACTGGATAAACAGAGCTCAACCCGAAGAAGAAAGAAGAGGAAAAAAGCGTCATCTGATACAATTCGATAAACAGGACCTACACCTATGAATGCAGCAGCTCAAAAGAGGAAACAAATTCCTGCTGCAAGAACTATTCCCACCCCCTCCACACAAAGGGTAGATAGAGATGGGCAACTTGGACATTGGCTACCCAAAATGGGAGGAGGGATACAAAGGTAAGAAGTGACTGGCTTACAAGCTTTCAAGAGGGAACTTATATCCAAAGGGTGCTGAGGAAGGTAGAGTCTCCAGTGAATAGTGTCCAGCCTGTTCAGGAAGGGCTGATGAAACGAAATACAAATGGGTCTCTTGTGATGCAATGGTGAATAACTATCATCAGGAGTGACTGTGAGGGTTGGAAATGTAAAAGTGGACATTTTGTAGCAAGGAGGGGAGTGATTAACTTTTCAGTCTAGGAGCGGAGGACCCTGGGACCATCGATGGATAATAGTGGAGAGTGGGATCCTACCCAGAGAAGCAGTGAGGCCTGAGATGGAGGCAGAGAAGACGATGTCAAGAGATGGTGTGGCTGGGGACTCGGGATCAGGAGATGGAAAGGGGCTGAGGTCTGTGGTGTGTGTGTGTGCAGGCTTACCGGGTATACCCCTTGGGTGAGGATGCATGGACAGGATGGTAACTATGCCAATGAAATGATGGATGATGGAATGAATGTAAAGCTAATGTTCTCCCATGTAGACTATCACACAATTCTCAATAAAACATTAAAAAAAAAAAAATGGTGTCAGAAAAATTGGATTTCCATAGAAAAATGAAGTAAGTTCCTTGCCTCACTCCATACACAAAAAGAAACTTAAAATGGATTAAGTACCTAACTGTGCAACCAAGAGCCATATTCTTTGACGAATAAGCAGTGGCAAACCTGTCAGGTCTCGCCTTCAACAATGGATTATCTACTATAATGGCTAAAGCATACATTGTTGTTGTTTGTTAAATGCATACATAGGAAAAGACCAAATAAATAAATGGAACCCCATAAAATTAAGAAATTATCTTCATCAAAAGACTACCAAAAAATTGAAAAACCAAGCTACCTACTGGGAAAATATCTTCAGAAACCATACACCTGACAAGAATCTAGCAACCAGTATACATAATTCTGACAATTTAACAACAAAAAGGGAACCCAGTTATAAAATGAGTAAAAGACTTCAACAGACATCTCACCAAAGAGGACATTCAAAGCCACCAAACACATGAAAATTTGCTCAGTGTCATTAGCTATCAGGAAGTTGCTAATCAAAACCACAATGAGATACCTACTACATTCTTAAATGTTGTTGTTAAGTACCGTGGAGTCGGTTCCAACTCATAGGGTTTCTGAAGCTATAAATCTTTATGGGAGCAGAACACCTCATCTTTCTCCTGCGGAACTGCTGGTAGTTTCGAACTGCTGACCTTGATGTTGGCAGCCTGACTCATAACCACTACACTACCAGACCTCCTTAAATAGGAT